ACAAGCAATGGCAGAAAAATAGCAAGAAGCAAAATATAAAAGGAAAACTATCAAACAATAAATCTTTTTTCTTTCTCCTTCTTTCCTTCCTTCTATCCTTCCTTCTTTCCCTCCCTCCCTCCTTCCTTCCTTCCTTCTATCCCTCCCTTCCTCCTTCCTTCCTTCCTTTCTTTTGCAGTGCTAGGATCCAATCCAGGGCCTCATACTGGTTAGGCAGGTGTGGTACTATAAAGCTATATCCTTACCCTCATACAATAAGTCTTTCTATTTTATTTCAAATAGAATCCAAAATTTATTCAACTGAGTAAATATAATATGAAACAAATCCTCAAACAGCTCACCCAGGCTCTTTCAAATCATCTATCTTTGAAAGAAAAACATGAAAAAGTGGTTTAGTGTCTTGTTAAAAAAAAAAAAAAAAACACATGTCCCTCAACAGTTTGCAGAATAAGGTTTCTCAACATGACCTGGCATCAAAACAACACAATGCTACAAAAACACAAAATCTTTAAAACTAGGATCTCACATCATCTACTCATTACTACCTTTTGAAATTACAGGTTCAGCAACAATATGTTTAAGCATCCAGTCAGCAGGTAAAATGCTATACCAAAAAGTGTTAGATCAGAAGAATTTTAAAATGAAAAAAAAGAAAAAACCAAAACCACAAAGAAGTCAGGTTAATTTACTCTTTTTAAAATAAACAATACTTTGGCTTCAATTCTCAGCACCACATATAAATAAATAAAAAATAAAGGTCTATCAACAACTAAAAAATATTTTTAAAAAATCCCTGGTCTTAAGACACTTATATTCCAGAGAGATACAGAATTAATAAATCAATCTGAAAACATGCATACCTACAGAAGAGATTGGAAAGTGGCAAATGCTATGAAAAAAAAATAAATGAAACAAGGTGATGTAATATAATATGATTGAGTGACTGACTACGTTAGACTAGATATTCAGAAGACTCCTGAAGGACATAGCCATGAACACTCTAATGATTCTCAAGAGTGGGACAGAGAAAAGCTCTAATGCAAGGGTAAGCTCAGCCTGATTTAGATACAAAAAGAAAAGCAATGTGATAAGATCCTAACATACAAGGGAAGAAATGCAGAAAGTGAAATGATTGGAACAGGACCAGATGAGGAATTTCAGGTCACAGTAAGTTTTTATATTACCTCTTTGAATTACCAGAAGCCAGCCTTCTTGCATGCTTTTTGTAAAACTGTTATTGGAGATACTATTATCACACAAACCAAAGCAAGAATGTTTCTTAAATCTCAGGTTCAGTAAAAGCTGACCTTTCCTGAGGAGATGGTATAAATTTACCTTGTGTGAATTTCTTTTAAGATATAGTTGTATCCTAACTTTTTTTTCTCCCTAGTCCTGGGGTTGTAATCCAGCGCCTCACACATTTATTTTATTTTATTTTTAGTTGTTGACAGACCTTTATTTTATTTATTTATTATATGTGGTGCTGAAAATCCAGTGCCTCCCACATGCCAGGCAAGTGTTCTACCACTGAATCACAATCCTAGCCCCCTTATGTGAATTTTGAAATCATGTTCTCCTCTATCCTCTGAACTCTAAAAATTCAGTTAAATTTACAATTGGCTTCTGGCAACTATATAAATCATTATAGTATCTACTTTCTTTTTAAATAAAGTATTTACTTACGCACAGTTTTAGATTTACCAAAAAATTCCAAAGATAGCAGAGAGTTCCCATACTACCCAGTTTCCCCTATCATTAACATCTTCCAAGAGTATGATACATTTGTCAAAATTAATGATTCAATAATGGTACCTTATTATTAAAGTCCATCATTTATTTAGATTTCCTTAGTTTTTTAACCTGATATTCTTCTTCTCTTCCAGGAACTGATGGTATCTAATCTACCATTATTTCATCTTCATTTTTATGTTCTCCTTGTTTTAAATTCTCTACCTATTGTTACCTAATGTATTTTATCTAATTATAGAATTAGATAAAATACACTACTTCTGGGAACTATATGGAGTAATAAAGTTAGCAGAAATCAATTTATTTATTTTAAAATTCAGTTATTTTTATTTTTCATTTTGGGGGAATTTTGAATAAAGTTGGTACAAATATTAATATATAGGTTTTCATGTAAACATAAGTTTTCACTCCTTTGTGACGAATGCTGAAGAGAACAAATGCTGGACAGTATGTTAATTTTGGAAAATACTGACGTAGACTCTTCTGGAGTAATTATACAATTTTTTATTTTCATCAACAATGAATGAATAATCTACTTTTCTTGCTCCTTATGAACATTTAGAATTTTATTATTATATTCTTTCCTCACTTTTGATTAATGCATTATAGTTGTACATATTAATGGGAGTTGTTATTACATATTCATATATGTACACACGGTAATAATAAAATTTGGCTAATATCATTCCCCAGCATTTCCCATTCAATTTTTGAATAAACTTGTTTCGATCTGGAAACTATAGATAGGTTTGAGGAGAAATGAGTCTACTATTTTGAGTCTTCCTCTCCAGTAACATGACATGTCTCCATTTATTTAGGTTTTTGTGATTTTTTTTTTACATCAGTAATTTATAATTACCAATTCTGTGCATATTTTGTAAGATTTACAATTAAATGTTTCATTTTATTTAGAAAAGTTGTAAATGACATTGTATTTTCTTTTTCATACTACAGAATCAATTTATTTCTATGTATTGATAACAAACAGAAACTAAAAAAATAAGTTATGGATAGTCCCCAACTTAACAATGGTTCAACTTACTGTTTTTCAATTTTATATTGGTGTAAAAACTATATGCATTCCGTCAATTTATGTCCTAAAAGATAAAATTAGCTTTTTTTAACCAATAAGTTAAATAGTCTAGTACCATGCAAAGTAATGTTTATAAAAACTTTTTAAAAATACAGAAACTCAAGGAAATGTACAATTAAAAATTTTATTCAAAGATAACATTTGGGAAAAAAGGTAAAATCAACATACAAAAAAAGTCTTATGCGTCTAAAAGGTTTAACCTCTAAAATTCTCTTTTGTTGACACATTGATCAACAGTAATCCTGTCATTATTAAGCCATGCAACTTTCACTTGGTCCCAGAAGGCACAAATCTAAAATGATCTCTTAAAATCCCTTTCAATTAAAAATATCAGTGACTTTTTTGTTTCAATCCTGTGACCTAAGTTGAGTGTTAAAGAGTGTTAAAGTGTTAAATCAACATTGAAAGATATTAATGTTTCCAAATAAAAGAGGCTACCTTTTTCCTCTAGAGCTAGGGATTGAACTGGGACAGCTAGGCAAGCTTTCTACTTCTGAATTGTGCCCCTAGCCCAAGACACTTAAAGATCGAAAAAGGAAGTTTAAAAGTTCCCTTGAAATTAATTCAGAGTGAAAATTAAAATAGATTTAAATATAATATATAAATTTTATACATCTGAGTTCAAAAGTATCCTTGGGGAGGGAAGAGGGCAGATCATTTCCCCCAACCACAACCACCACTACCAAAAAAGGTGTGAACATTTATCCAAGTAAATTAATTCCATAAAGTAACTCATACACCATTGAGGAAGAAGAAAAAGGTAAAAAATACAAAAGCTTTATTTTCTACTGTTCTTCGTCACTGAAAATTTTTAATATTTCTAATGTCAAATGAATACTGCAATTAAGAGTTCTATTTTCAGCCAGGCATGCATGATAGAACACACCTGTAATCCTGGCTACTCAGGAGGCTAAGGAGAAGGATGGCAAATTCAAAACCAGCCTCAGCAACTCAGTGAGATCTAACTCAAAAAATAAAAAAGGGCTGGGGATGTAACTTTGTAATAAAGTCCCCCTGGATTCATTCCCCAGTACCTAAGTACTAAGAGAGAATTCAGTAAAAAACTAAATATTTTCAAATCTCAAGTGTCTTGAGTTAAATGTTGAAGAAATAAATACATTATAATCCAAAAGTAAGGGAAATGTTATAAAACTAATACCTTGCTGCCAATACCTAGCTGGTTTATAATAGTAAGAGATAAAATCTTGACATGCTGTGAAGAAGCACATTCTTAATTCAGAATGTTTCAAGATGAAAAACATGTATTTCTATATCATTAAACAAATAAGATTTATATTTATAGAGCTATAGTCTTATTAAATACTTTAATCATCTATCATATGTCATAAAAAATAAGCCTCTAGTAGCATGCCCCCAGAATGACTTCAAAGAATACTAGTGAGCTCTCATAAAAATATTATCCAGGATACACTGTAAGAATATTCTTAACAAATATGTTTTCACATCATTCCCCTTAAAAAATCGGATGCATACTTTTAAAAGAATATCCAGCCTCAGAAGGAACACTCTCTCAAGCATAGTTTCTAAATTAGTTCCTAATTATTTCCTGACACAGAACTCATACAACTTTTACATGCATCTCTCCAAACCTATCAAAACAACCCTGTAAACAATAAGGTAGTGAGTAGAAGCTGAGGTAATGAAAAAGAAAAGATTTAATAAAGATAATTGGAGAGATAACCACTGCTTTCATGTCAGTTGTTTTATAACTATGCACATGCTTGCTTACACACACACACACCCAGTAAACATCCTCCATTGTTTTACTAGTCCCACTCTAAAGGTAGTACATACAAAGGAAAAACTTGCTGCCCTAACCAATTATGAATGAATGATTCACTGAAGGATAGATTGATGGTTGAATGGAGGACAGATATAAAAATACATTGAAGGATGAAAGCAAGACATAGATAAAACTTTGATTAAAGTAATAAATGAGTCACAGTTCTCGGATGACATACAAGCATAATACAAGATTCACCATAGGTAAATACGAATTAGAAAAAAAATGGATCACATTATCAAAAGCAAAAAAGACAATGGGTAAAGATATATTGGTTTCAGACTTTGCCGTTTATCACAGCTTTCCTTTTAAAAAGCTTTTATGTCACTAACCCTAAAGGGGAATTCATCTTACCTTCCACTGAAGGTGCCTGGTCCTGAGCTGAATACAGCATTTCCTTGAAAGCCTATCAAAAAGAAAGAAAAGCAACACATGAAATAAATAGTAGAGTTTATATCAAAAGCATCTGGAACTAAACACTTCTTTTTTAAAAAAGAAAATTTATGTTTTAATTAGTTATATATGACAGTAGAATGCACTTATATATTTTGATATATCATACATAGATGGGATATAATTTCTCATTTTTCTGATTATACATATTGTAGAATCACATTGGTCATACAGTCACATACATACATAAAGTAATAATGTCTGTTTCATTCCACTATCTTTCTTATCCCCATATCCCATGCCTTCCCCTCCTTTTACTTCCCTCTACCTAGTCTAAGGTAATGCTATCCTTTTTTTTATTATTATTATTACAATTCTTAATACACATATTTACTTCTTTTCCAATATCCAGTATAATGACTACTTATAGCTCCTTAAATTGAGAATTTAATGAAATACATCAATTAACTTTACTAATCCATTAAATATTATCCAATCTTTAACAAGAGAGCCAATATGTAAACTTTAAAATTAAAGGGCATTTGGAAAAGAATGAAAAAAATCACCTGAGAGATCATAAGCCCTTTAGACTAAGAAAAAAGAATGAAATAAACTGAGAGCAAAAGTCCTGGGGACTGCATAAGAAAATATGAAGAACTGGACACAAATACAGTTTTTGAGTGGGGAAGTAACATTTATATAACATAAAATTCAACATCTTAACCATTTTTACATGTACAATTCAGTAGTGTTAAGTATATTCACACTGTTGTGCAACGTATCTTTAAAATTCTCATCTTGTATACAAATACTTTCCAGTAGAGTTCTATAAGGTCCTCCAGAAGAGTTTAGAACTATAAAGATACTACAGGTTTTATAGTTTTCTTCTTAGTTAACAACCATATTTAAATAATTTGGATAGTTACAGTTTGTTCTCTCAAGAAGTAGTTGGGCAAAGTGTAAGAAGTAGTTCTCCCTATCAATCAAAATGGCTCAAGCAATGAGTAGATAAGGCTCCAAGGCTGAGAGGTTAGTCAAAAGCTTAGTGACTTTATCCGGTACCATTGCTTCGAATACAATCTAAACACTGACAATTCCCCAAAGGACCTATAGCAGGGTTCCTTCGCCTTTATTCTTTAGGGGTAGGGAGTGTTGTGCATTCTAGAGTTTTTAGGGGCATCTCTGGTGATTAGAGGCACATTAGATATCACCTCCTAGTTCTGAGATTACTAAATATCAAATATCCCCTGGGAAGGAAAATTGCCCCTCCTCAGAACCACTGGTGTACAGTTATTCAAGCACATATGTACCAAAAAGGAAGAAGTAAACCTCCAGGGTAATCTATTTATAATCTACTTTTTTTTTTTTAAGTATTCAAGTCCAATAACATTTTTCCAAGTGAATTTACTATTTGTTTTCAGTTAGTGATCAACCTGTTAGTACCATGACTAACTAAGCCTAACAATGTACAGTAAAAAGATTTCCAATGAAACAATGAAAATTAAAATATTTAAATCAATTCATGTCTGTTCATTCTAACTCATTTTATGAAAGTGTTTGTAGGAAAAGTATACATCTATAACATTTTAATGTTACATATATTTAAATTCAAAAATATTTAATAAGATTCACTCTATAGAATTTAAGGCAATATAGTAATGCAACTGTGGTATAATAGAAAATAAATATTTGGTCTTTGTGTCCAGTTCCTGGCATAGAGCTCCTAAAACCTTTGGAATGTATTGTTTTACTAATGAAATGGATCAATGGTGGGAGGGACCCCAGATATCTTCTGGATAAGGACTGGCCACTAGAAAAAACAAGCGTTTAGAACATTACAACTTGCCAGGCACAGTGGCTCATGCCTGTTAATCCCAGAGAGTTCAAAGCCAGCCTCAGCAAAGGCAAGGTGCTAAGAAACTCAGTGAAACCCTATCTCTAAATAAAATACAAAACAGGGCTGGGGATGTGGCTAAGTGGCTGAGTGCCCCTAAGTTCAATACCTGGAACAAAAAAAAAAAAAAGAATATTACAACTTAAGCCCCACAACCAAACTTCTGAAGAAGGAAGAGGTGCTAGAGATAGAATTCAATCACTAACAGAAATGATTTCAAGTCTGTATAATGAAACCTCCATAAAAGCCTCTGAACATCGAGGTTCACAGAGCTTCCATGTTTGTGAACACATCAAGGTGAGAAGTGTGCATGGAAGCTCTTATGCCATACTCACCATAATACCTTGCACTATGCTTCTCTTCTATTAGATTGTTTCAAAACTGTCCCTTTTATAATCCATCTGTTGCACTCAGTATTTTTCTATGGGAATTATTCTGGCAAATTGTCAAATCTGAGGGAGAGTTCTGGGAATCCCCATATTTGCAGTCAGACAGGGAGAAGTCTGGCACCCCACTTGTAGCTGACATCTTAAACAGGGACAGTTATAAAGAACCCTTACTAATCTATGGAGTCTGTGCTAACAACAGGTAGGTAATGTCTGAAGTGAACTGAATTGTCAGACACACAGTTGCTGTTGGAGACCTGGCTGCTGTTGTCAAAAAAGAAATGCATTTGGTGTTAAAAGAAATGGTGACACAAAACACTACACCACACTATAACTCTTTAGAAAACCTTTATTAGTCAAACACAACTTTTCTAAGATTACATTTTAAAATTATTCTCTTTTTTACCAAGCACTTATTCTTAAACTTGTTTGTAATCAACCCTAGGTGACAGTGACAAAAATCTGGAACCTCTTTTAAGAACATTACATACACACTCAGTATTTTCTTTACAATTTTATGTCTCAGGGACCACTAACTTCTAGATTAAAATAAGAAGTTATTTCTAAAGAGCTTATCAAACATTTAAAAAAAGTCTTTCATTCAGCTGACAGATTTAAATTTTATATCGAAGTCCTATACAGGTAGAGTATGGTCATATTACTGTTCTCTGACAGGCTATTTCAAGAGGATAAATGAGTAAAAGATTGATGAATGCAGGACAAATTTCTACAACTAAAAAAAGTAGCAGAAAAATATGAGGAAAAAATAATTTTAAAAAACTAGCCAGAGAATAGTTACAGAAATAAATCTATCCCAGGGGCTGGGGATGTGGCTCAAGCGGTAGCGCGCCTGGCATGCGTGCGGCCCGGGTTCGCTCCTCAGCACCACATACCAACAAAGATGTTGTGTCCGCCAAGAACTAAAATAAATATTAAAAATTCTCTCTCTCTCTCTCTCTCTCTCTCTCTCTCTCTCTCTCTCCTCTCTTCACTCTCTCTTAAAAAAAAAAAAAGAAAGAAATCTATCCCAACAAGTAATATCAGAGGCTCAAATGTCTGAATGAAGATTTACTATTTGTGCGGTATAACAGGAATGTGTGCCAAAATTAAATAATGCTAACAGGAACCAAATAAACTGTCAACAAGCAAAGTGACTTGTATACAGTAGGAGCTTAATAGTTCTTGAATTCAAAAGAGTTTCCTCTCTGGAGAAAATTAAAAAGGACTCACAAAGCACACTAAGTAGAATTTCTGACATGTGATGAAAATGAATTAAATTTGCAAAAGCAAAGCTTACCAAATTAAGTTCATGTAAATTAAAGTTTTTTAAAAAAGACAAATTACAATAGTCTTCATTCAGATTAATTAAATCAAGACAAATTTTGGCAAAATCATTGACAACTCATTTCTGCTACTTCATTTTCCGCTGATTTAAGAGACATTCTATGAGACATTTTTGAGACATTTAAGAGACATTTTTGGTAGTAACACTGTCTAGAGAACTCCATATATAGGACCACTCTATAGCCTGTGATAAGAGATAGTCCACATCAGGAACAAGGAAAAAAAAACTTCCCGGGTATTGTCTATATTAATACTTATGGACTGTTCATCTGAGTCCATTCAAAGCACTTACCTGCACTCGGAATTCAAAGGAGTTTCTTCAATTCATTTTTACTTTAAGAAAATCCAATACTTTATATAAAACTCTGAATTTATATAAGTCAATATGAATTCATGTGCATTCCTGAAGTTTTTTGATTTTCAAAGGCTTAAAAGCAATCTTTCATATCATCTGACTCCCTTCGAGTGATAAATTATTTTTATGTTATTGAAATCTATATAAACATAAACTAGGACAAAATTCCTAGTGCTTAAAACAACTCATGTTAACAGTAAAATCTTACAAATTAAATAAATAAAAATAGCCACAAACCAATACTATACTACCAATAATATTAACATAAAGGAAAAAGATTCACAATCTGTTGTTGTTTCTTGGTACTGGGGATTGAACCCAGGAGCTTATATTCGCAGCTCTTTTTATTTTTCACTTTGATATAGGGTATCACTAAATTGCTTAAAGCCTACATTGCTGAGGCTGGCCTCAAACTTGAGATTTTCCTGCTTCAGCCTCCCAAATGGCTTGAATTATAGGTGTATACCACTGCGCTCAGCTGAAAGTGATGACTGACACAAATATACCTTCTTTTGAGTTTGGAATGCCTATCCTACTTTGATATAATTTTCTAAGCACTTAACTATACAGTAAGGCAGCACAGCAGAGTGGTTAGAAGTTTTGGAGTCAGAAAATGTGTATGAAAAACAACTCTTAACACTTAGGAGTTGTGCAACCCTAGGAAAATAACTATCTCTATACTTCAATAGCCTCATCTGTAAAACAGGAATAGTGATTACACATAGCTTACAGATCTATATTAAGAATTAAAAACTCTCAAAACATAAATTCTTATACTAATTTTGACTCACAATCATACATGAAGAGTACTTAGGACATTGCCTAGAACATAAAAATATGCTGAAAAAATGTTAGCTAATAATAGAATTTGAACTATGACAAACCACATCATACCAGGGCTATGGCAGGAATAATATCAATCATGCATGAGATATGCCTCAACCAGTTATGCTGTTGTTGCAGTGCTGAGGATGGAACACAGACTTCACAAATACTAGGCAAGCATTCTTAAATTCAGCTATACCCCCAAGTCACCAGTTGTTAACAACTCTTAGTAGTATAGTTAAACATGGAGCTAATATGATGCAACAAGCATAA